TTTTTTTTTTTTTTTTTTTTTTTTTTTTTTTTTTTTTTTTCTTCTTCTTTTATCATCTTTATTTCCCAAATGCGACAGTGTTTAAACGATCGCTAATCGTTCGTTGAATTTTACAGGTAAAGCGTTTGTCGATGTACGACGAACGTTTCACGATCGCAACCACCGTATCGTCTCCTTGTGGGAAATCTCTTTGCGCGAATCTCTGCGAGACACGTATTTTTTCAAATTCGTTGATGCATATTTTTGTTTCAGGGCATCGCGTATCGCGTTCCGCGAAAGCGTCGCGCGATTGTTCTAACCCATCGAGAATCGTGCCAGTGGTCGAGAAAGGTTGTTATACCACTTTTCAAGCCTAAACTACGCAAACGTGTAGCGGTTGCTTGCATTTTGAAAAATGACCACGACTTTTGTCCGTCGGTATCTCCTCCTCCAAAAGTACGTGTATGCGTGTTGAAAAGAGATATACGCGCACGTACGATGTACAAACTCATCATCGAATGTAACAATGTTTATTACTTGTACATTGATACATACATACGTACATACATATACACATATATAATATGTATATATGTATATATGTGTATATAACATATAGTTTTGAATATATACGAATCCAGATGATTCTACGATGACCGAAGCATCCTGTTTGATTATCTTATTGTGGAGGGTTGGAAATTGGCATCTTTTTCATCGGCGAGAGTAACCGCGGAAGATGGCGAGACGATCGCGTGGAAATCGTTGTCCAGGATCGGATGAAAAGAAGCGCGCTGTAACCTGTATGCCAAGAGAGAGTCTCTCCATGTTTCGTCGTTACCTCGAAACCTCACGCCTATTCACGTAAACACGGCAAAATTTTACCCCTGGGCGCACTTATTTTTCGGGGCTATTGGCTGATACGTTATGTGTTGGGTTGGTTACGGGTTTAATCTCACTGATCTCTCTTACCGCATAACTATTCGTGCATCGAACGAGAAGAAACTTCGCATCCTCGACACCCGCTCTCCATCTCTCTCCCCTTTGTCATCTCCAATCGCCCGTCTAAAAAATTCGCGGTTTTTGTTTCTCCTCGATTTCTTCTGATTTAATAAAATAACCTGTTACCTCGATCTCGCGTCTCGCTTGGCGCCGGGACCTGTTGCAGGAATGGTTGCATTGCTGTCGTTGTTGCGGTCGGATTTCAAGCAGCAGCAGCAGCATCAGCAGCAGCACCAGCAACAGCAGCAGCAGCAGCAACAACAACACCAACATCAGCAACAACAACAGCCGCAGCAGCAGCAACAGACGAGCAAGAAGGTTCGTTCGTCGATGTCGGGTATCGCAACTACGATGAGAGGAGGTGTCGTTTTGGCAAGCAGACGCGTGAGCAACACCGGTGATAGTAACAGCTACGACAGCGGAAACGACAATGGTGGTGGTGGTGGTGCGCGTACGTCTACCCGCGAGGTGGTATTTCCCGATTCGTTCGAGGTTTTGCCGCAACCTCGTGATCTTAGCGTCGTG